TGTATTATGTGGGGGGTGGGGGAAAGGGGAGGGCTTTGGAACACAGAGAAGACAAGTAGTGAGTCTACAATATCTTACTATGCTGATGGACAGTGACTGTAATGGGGTTTGTCAGGGGGACTTAGGGTAGGGGATAGCCTAGTAAACATAATGTTCTTTATTTAATTGTAGATTAATGATAACAAAATTTTAAAAAAACATAAAAAAAATAATAAGGGACTTTCTAGTCACAAGAGTTACCAGGCTTTTGGGGAAGTCAGATACATAAACAGAAATTATAATACACAGGGGCATCAACGATTATGGAAATACAAATTAATACATTACAAGCATGTGAGAAACTGCATTGCCTAAAGGAGCAATGACAGTACTGCTGGTGGTTCATTCAGTTCTACCCCACTTCTGAGTTTTCTAAAATATCAAGGTCATTTAATATCCAATCTTAGAGGCCAAGGGTTGATGAAGTCTAAGTCTATATGTCCTCAAAGATGAAGAAAAGTAAACTTCTAGAAGAGGCAAAATTGTGCAGCTTCACCATTGTAATAATTATCACGTCAGTTATCAGCAGCAATGTTCTGAATGACATTGAAATCAACACACAATTTTTCTTTGTCAAAAAAGGAGAAAATGACATAACACTTGTCTTTGATATATCAAACCAAACCCCTAGATAGTGAAACACAAATAAATCAACAGTAGACTAGCACAATGGGATACCTTTCATTTTTCAATATTTTGTGTTATCTTTGAACATGAATTCAGATGAAAAAGTCAAATTACCTTTTGTAATGGTGAGGGGTTTGAGGCTTGCAGCAAAATGCCTGGAAGTAGGTAGGCACACCATAAATCTGTAGTACCTTTCCCTTCTCCAGTGGAGGAAAATTATCTCAAAAGAGTATTTCTTATTCCGGTAAGCAGGTTAGTAGAATCAGTCTTTCCTCTGGAGGATGAAGGTAATTTGATTCAGTGGGGAGGGGTTAGCAGATTCCATCTGGCCTATGTAGCAGAATCCTTTTTAAACGAAAAGAATTAGTTTTGTTTCACAAGCAATTTTTTCCAAAGCAAAAGTCAAATGCTAATTGGAGCAAGCTCCCCACTGCAGTGAACTGACGCAGTTTGGGGCATCCAGGCCTCATCTATAAATAGCAGATCTATTTAGAACCTCCTACCGCACCAAAACTGAATCCTTATTCCCCAGAAGCAGGGCTTGCTGTTATTTACTGTAGCATTGGAAGACTCAGAACTGCTACCTGCTTTGCCTTCCTGGGGTGATGCATGCTCCATTCTGCTTGTTTTGTCTGTGTAGGTTGTAGTGGGTACTCAAGAATCTCTCATGCACGTTGTCTTTAATAGAAGTACACATTGTTTTGAGCAACTTAAATTACATGCATATCAACCCTTTTATATGCTTTGAAAGCAAATTTCACTGTTTCTGGGTTATGCGTTCCCTACTAGCTGATTTGTCACGTTCTGCAAAACAATTTATATGTAAATATGTCTGCTCCTTATAGTACCCACTGCTCTCTATTGGCCTCTGATTAGCATTAAATTTTGATGGACAGTGATCTATACAACTCCCTTCTCTTTGAAATAACTTTTTAGACATGATAAAATATTATACTAATTCTTGTGTTTTTGTGATTCTTTCACAAGTAAATAATATTCTCCTTCATTAAAATAATACATATTCATTTTAGAAAAATGATGGCTGAAGAAAAGTGGAAAAGAGACCTTAAAATCCATTCATAATGCTGCAGTTTGAATACAACCGGTGCTTTTATTTTATAGTTTCTTTAGTGCACAATGTTTTTATATATAAATTATCATTGTGATTATTCTGTTTGTACAATTGTACCTTATTCATTTTGTCCTGAGCATGGTTTCTGCACTTTAAAATGTAAAACACATCCCAAATTAAAAAATGTCTTTAAGGAAGAATCACCATTCTTCAGAAAGCAGACATATTAGAAAATGGAAAGTGCTTTGAAGAATACCCTTTAGCCTATACATATTAAATGTTGGTATATGCACATAAAGATTATAAACAGAGATTGCATTTTTAATGGGAGATAGGACTTCAGTGAAATTATACTTTCTAAGTCATAGAATTAGAATTATTTGATTTTTGACAGCATTTATTATTTTGTAGTAAAAAATAAAAATTTTGAAATTACTGATACTGGGAAATTAAAATAAGACTTTGAAAGTTAAGCATCTGTCTTCCCAGAGTGCCATTTCTTTCCTTCTTATAATTTTTAAAGTAGTGATTATGTGAGTTTGGATAACAGCTTCAGAATATTGAATAAATGCAATACTACTGTTTAATTTATGCCTGAGACTACATCTGTGCATAAAGGAATGTGTTTGATTCTGTATTTAAGAAAAAATTTTGTTTGATTTGAGCACTCTTACTGAAACCAAGTCACAAGTTTAAACCTTGTATATTTAAGATAGCCTGATCCCTTTCAGAAATTCATAACTTTCCAAGACTATTACATTAATCTTGGCCATCGTCCTCATTCATGAGTGCTCCTGGTTATGGGTAGGAAATTATGAAGGAATCTGCACAGACCTGGCAAGAAGACGCACTTGGAGGGGTGAGCTGTATTGGCTAGACTCTCCATAGGGAGGCAGCCCAGAGGAGATGAAATAAGTAGCGGGCCAAAGCAAAGGGGTGTGCTGAGGTTTTTCATTTCAGTCAGGAATCCAGCTGCTTCTCAATTTAGCACCACTATCTGGAGATGTTAATTTGATATGTGCCTCTGCAACCCTTCCCTCTGCAGGATGAAGAATTAATTCACTTAGATGGAAAATGCTGTCCTGAATGCATTTCAAGGAATAGCTATTGTGTTTATGAAGAAAATGCAGAATTTGTGAGTATTGGGCTAATAACTGAAGACCATTAATAATGAATAAATCAAAATTAATTTAATGAGGGGGTATTACATTGTCATTTCTTTTACCCATTCATTTGTTCTTCAGATGTAATTGCACATCTACTGTGTGCCAGGTACTGGGGATACAGGCAAAATTCATGCTCTGTGGGGACACAGGACAAATAAACACATGTGTCAGATGGCAACAAATACCGCCTGAAGAATAAAGCAGCTAGAGAATAACTGAGAAGAGGAGGTGCTCTTTTACATAAGATGATCAGGGAGGTCCTCTCATGCAGAGAAATTTGGGTAAAATCTGAAGGAAGTGAGGGAGCAGACCAGATGCATACCTGGGAGGAACACTTACAGGAAGAGGGATCAACAAATGAGAACCGTATGGGAGCAGAAGTGTGCTTGGCATGTTCAGGAAGCAGCAAGAAAGTGAGTATGGCTGGAGCCAAGTGAATGAGGGGCAGAGGATTTGGAGATGGCATCCACAGGTAGCCTGGGCATCATGTAAAGCTGTTGTTCTTTAAGGTTCCACACATGGGAGCTGCTGGGGAGTTTTGAGTAGAGCAGTGCTGTGATCTGGCTTCCTTGTGAAAGCGCCACTTTGGCTGCTCCTTGGACAAGTGATGGAAGGGGCAAGGCTGGCAGTAGGTGGTCCAGTTAGCAGGTTTCTGCAGTAGTCCAGAGGAGGATGAAGGTGGCTTGGTCTAGAGAGAAAGTAATTAAAGCGGTCAGGCTCTAGATTTACTTTGCAGGCAGAAATAGAATTTTTGATGGGCTGGATGTGGAGATGATACCTGTGAAGCACCTAGAACTGTGCCTGACACATTACAAAAGAAAAAAGGTAAAAAAATGGCATCAGTATTATGCTGTTCGTATTGTTTGTTTCATAGTGGTATCTCATAGTTTTATTCATCCTTGTTTCTTAAGAATTTAAGAGATTAAAGGCTCCCTATAAGTGTTAAATTTTTATTTTCTCAATCATAGTATCAATTTTCCTACTCAGTTTTAAAAGTAAATTAAGCCCCGTGCAATTAGAGAAAAGAAAGTTGTTTTAAATAAGTACAAATCCCCATAATGCTCTTGTACCATACAAGGTTCAAGAAGTTGCCCCTGTGTGCCTAGATCTTTTGACTGTGCAATCCTTCACACTGATGGGAGTTGAAGCCAAGAGCTTAAGCATGAAGTGAGAATAAGAATTAAAGGTATTTCCTAGGCATGATGCCTTCACCTCATATTGGCATTTCTTTTTTTCTATTCATAACAAATGAATGAAGTTGGGTGTTACTTGGACAAAATGGATAACTCTTAATGAAAAAATAAATAGATCAGCCTAATGGTGTCTTTAGTAGTATAATAAATGCATTTATCTTTTTTCTAGATGTCCTCAAATGTGAGTGAAGTTAAACGTATTCCAGTAAGTATAGATTTTTAACTTGTACATTCATATTTATAAAATAGTTTTAAGCAATGATCTAGGTAAGCTGCCTCAGGGAATCTTAATGCCTTAGTGTTTGTAACAGTCATGTTTGCTGGCACCGTGCCCCAGGTTTGAACCTTAGTGATAACTATCGCTTTGACCCATTAAACTTTTGCTCTTGACTTTATGTTGTGTTTTTCCACAATTGATAATTAATGTTTCTCTAACTAAGAGCTCCTTAATAAATCCTTTCCTTTTCCTTTGATAATTTTCTCCTCCTGATCTTTCTGGCCTAGAAAACTCAATTTAACCATCCATGCAATTTCATGTCCTGCAATGAATTGAAGAAAGAGCTTTTGGGTTTGGGGAGAATTAGTTCTGTAAAGCAAAACTAAGTGTTCATTCTCTCTAGGTTGTTTGCAGGGCAACATGTGGTTTCCTTTTAAGGGAAAGCACAAGTGTGTTTGTTCACACAGGGGAACTCAAAATTTTGGAGATTATAGAATAAGGGGACCAGGAATCAGTCTCCTTTGAAAGGGAAGAAAAACACTTTTGCCTTCTCAAGATACTAGTCTTCATTTTTCTAACATTGCCATTCATTGTTGCTAACTACTGTCACATGACTTGTTTGGAATGTTCAACATTAGTTGGCTTAATAAACATTTTATCAAATATTTATTTAAAAATCTTCTGTTCTCTCCTTTTTCACCTTCTTCACTTCAAAACATTCTGGTAGGAACCTTTGTCTCTTTCTTAACTCTAGGGCAAGTGGGATAGAGCAAAAAAGGAATTGCTCTTCATGATTCACTTTGGGATGACTGTCAGAGGACTAATGTTTATTTCCATAATTTACTTGGCTGCAAAGAATATTTTAGGGTGAGAAGCCCCTGGCACATCTCCAGCCCACTAAAAATGGACATGCAAGAACTATCATTTTAAGAATACAGCGACTCTCCTGTCACTCTTACTGTAGTGACCATAAGGGAATTCAGGGCTTTAACCAGCTTCCCATTGTTAGAATGAAGATTGTACGTAATGTACCTGTTGATCACTAGGTACATACTAATCCCCTCTGGTGCTCTTTTGGTGAGATAGGTTGAGAGAAAAGTGGAATGTGCTTCTTGCTCATTCTGGAGGCTGCAGAATGCTTCATTGTTTACTTTCTGCCTGGCTTCTACATTAAAATAAACCAACTATAAAGAAAGAAAGAGAAATACTACCCTTTTAAATTTAGAACTCTTCTACTACTGCCCCATTTTAGAGTTAGGTCTGACATGGTACTGATCAGGGGCCTTCACTTTGTCCCTTGTGGAAGTCCTAAGCTCTCCACTGGCAAACTGTCTTCCAAAGCTCTGCATTCTGATGGCCACATCATTCTTTCCTGTTCCATGTAGGAGGGGAAGAAGTGGGAGGACGGCCCTTGCAAGGTGTGTGAGTGCCAGGGGGCTCAGGTAACTTGCTATGAGCCCTCTTGTCCACCATGTCCAGTGGCCACCCTTGCCCAGGTGGCGGAGGGACGGTGCTGTCCACATTGCACATCAGGTGAGTCCATGTCTGATGTATTTCTACTAAGATATTTTTTTACTGCCTAAAATTCAGAGAGATCTTCTCCTTTCCTCCTCCTTGCTAACATTTTTTTAGTCACCCAGTGGGTTTAGTTGTCTGTTTGATTCTTCCTAATTTTTCTAATAAGTGATGTTAATCTTTGTCCATTGTTTGCCAATCTCTATTTATTGAGTATGTGACCTTGGGTAAGTCATTGAACCTCTCTAAATCTTAATTTTCTTGTTGATAAAATGCACCTTATTTACCTTGCAAAATTATTGCGAAAATAAAATCAAATAACGTTCATAAACATGTAAAGGCAAATACGTGTTAGGACTTCTCCATTGTTGAGGATATAGGACAATTGCTGAGAGTTTGTTATAGATGTCCATTGTTTTAAAGGGGAGCGGTTAAACAGATGTTCCCTTTGGAGTTCTCAAATGAGTTTTTGAAGTTTGAAGATTCATTATTTTCTGCCGAAAGAAAATTTTATCTACTCGTTCTGCAAACTGTTTCAAATCACCTGGAGTTGAATTAGTTCCAGTTAATAATTGTTGGCAAGCCCTGGAGTTGCTCTGGCTGTACAATAATTTGCCCATAAGCTTAGTGTCTCTTAGACAAGTGGCATTTTCTTCCATTCACATTTCATAATTAATTATTTTCATCCATGGGTTGCAATTTTCCATATTGGCAGTTGTTCTCAACTTATTTTAGCTAGTCACAGAGTTTCTGTGAAGTTTATCATGGGAAAGCAAAGCAACTTTATGACTTATGTTTCCTTCACCAAAATGGCTCCCTGGACTTTCCAAAACAAATATTTAGCATATTATAATGTACTATACTTTGAAAATCAGGTCCTTGACAGCTTCAAGACCTGAAAGAAGTGCTTTGCTTACAATTGCCACTGAGTTCAATTATAATCCCAATTACTGAGAATGAGTTCTGAAATTTTGCAGAAAGAGAAGAAAACTGGCTTTATTTTTTAAGGAAATAACTTTAAAAAACTACACACTCTATGTCTTAACTTTTTATACACATCAAAGCTTAAGAAGAGCATCTAAGAAATCATGAATTATTTAATCTGTTTAAATCACACATTTATGGAGCTAATCATTCCTGTTTCCAGAGGCATCCCAGTAGGTAGAAGCATTAATAGGGCTATTCATTAATGTTTTTAGCATCTTCAGTTTGGGGCTACAGAGACAGTGATAGTATTTCAGACAAGGAAAGGTCCTTTGAGATCTTACATTGAAATAATTTCTACTATTTGGGTGCCTTTTTCATAGATAAGTTCCAAATTTCTGCTCTTCATATTCTGTACAGCTCCATATACCCTGTAGATTCTTTTTTCAGAAGGATACAAGAGAAATCATATGATCTTTATTGAATTCCCCTCTCCTTTGTCCTTGACTGTAGCTCATTGCCACCCAGACTGCTTGACCTGCTCTCAGTCTCGGGACCACTGTGACCTCTGCCGGGACCCCACAAAGCTGCTGCAGAACGGACAGTGTGTGCACAGCTGTCCTCTGGGATTTTACCAGGCTGGTGCTCTCTGTCTAGGTATGGCTCCAGGCATACAGCCCAGAACTGGACTGAGGCTCAGTGTTGTCAGGGAGGGGGGCATGAATGCAGGAAATCACAACTTCCAAAAACCATTAGAAGGCCGTATTATTATCCAGAGGTTACTTGGCCTCTTTATCTGCAGGTCCCTTTCTTCTAACATGTTTACAGGTATTTCAGTGCTTACTGGGAGACAGATAATGGGGAGGCCAGATATTGCTAGATAATGGCTAGAGTTTTCATTTTTGAAGACCTTGAAGGATTATAATATCATCAGGATGCTTGGTGTCATTTATTAAAACACTCAGTTAATCCAAGATAGAAATTCAGAATTGACATGGACCTTTGAGATCACTTACTAGAATTTTCTCATTGTTCAAACAGGGAACCTGTGGGCCAGAGAAATTAACTGGATTGCTTAACATCACACGGATAATTAGTAGTAGAGCTTATCTCTACTTATCTATCCCATGTGGGTTACCATGGGATCCAGAGTGTGTTTATGTGCATTTCAGAATTCTTATGCATCTGAGAAGGAAATCTTACACCGGAGAATTTGGCTTAGTTGAGGTCAAATCATAGTTACTTTTTCTCCTATCTCCACCTCATGGAGTTAATTATCCATTTAGGAGTGTGTAGGTTGTACCCTGGCTGTAGTTAACCTCTCAATGCCTATGAAGTGGGGTAATACTATTTTCCTCAGAGGGTACTGTGAGGACTAAATGTGTAAATACATGCCAAGTGCCTAGAATAGTGTCTAGGTTATTGTCAGGCCTTCATAGTTCACTGCTTTTATTATTTTTATAATTATTTACTTCTCCCTACTTTCCTGATTCCTAATCTTCAACCTTTTTTAAAGTTATTTATATCTCTGTTACACGTTGTAGAAGAAAAGGGATAAAGGATATTCTCATTAAATGGTTGAGTGAGAAAGATACTGGGGACTATTGAATAAGAAAAGAAGAGCACAGATTCAGAACCCAAACTGCCTGGGTTCAAATGCCAGCTCCATGTCACCCTGGGCAAGTTTGACATGGACCTTCTGTGAGCTTATTCCTCCTGCAAAATGTTGGGATTAACAATATCTACCTCATAGGGTTATTGTGAAGATTAAACGCATTCATATGTGTAAAGTACTTCATACAGCCCCTGGCATGATACGTGCTATATAAGTGAAGTCTGGTAAAGTTATTTCCTTGCCGTTCTTGGCCTGTCTGTCCCCAGAGCCTCAGACCTGGGCTGTGTAGGAATCTACACTGTGGTGGTGTCTCTGAGCTAATCAGAGCTTCCCTTTCTCTTCCTCTAATCTTGTCCGGGACCAGCCTGCCAGCCTCAGTGCTCTACATGTACCAGTGGGCTGGGGTGCTCTTCCTGCCAGCGCCCCCTGCTGATGCAGCATGGCCAGTGTGTGTCCACCTGCGGGGATGGCTTCTACCAAGATCGCCACTCCTGTATAGGTAATCACCGGGCCACGGCTGGGTGAGCCACCGAGAAAGCCACCCCCCACCTCCAAACGAGTTGGGCCACCAGGAGCTATGAGCAGTTTTTTAAGCAAGAGAAGAAACTCTGATGGGATGAGAACAGTGGATGAGTGAGATGACACACATTTTTATAACCTTACTAGTGCTTTAGTGATGTGCATGAGTGACATGATTTCTCTAAGTCCTTCTGTACATACCTGAGGGCCCCAGAACAGTATTTAGTTAACACCATACCTTTGCTTCAGAATTGTCATTATACCATAGTTAGATTCCCTCATAGTGTAAGTGGACAGTGCTTAAATGACAATGAAGGGGAAAATACACTGATATATTTCTAAACTTTATTTCTACCTAAAGAGCGAGGGAGAACAGAAACAAGAAAGTGATATCATAGTAATGAACTTGGACAAATAAAGCAAAAGTTGGTATTTAAATTTATTCTCATTTTTGTATTTATATACTTTACTAGCTTTATATGCCTACTTTTATTTTTAATTAAGATCTAGTTGAAATTCTTACTATCATTGTCTCTGAAGGTGGGAGTGGTCTTAATATAATTTAATTTGTGGTTTATACTTGATCTTTTTTTAAATAGGGATTATAATCATGGATATAAGTAAAAGTAAATGTATAAAGAATTTTTAAAATGCAGAAATGGCAGAACAGAGTAATGGTGAAAACAAAGACATGAACAGAGTCCTAAGTTTGTCTTTAGGAGAAAACAGAGGGTCAGATGTGCCCAGGACTCAAAGCAGGATGTGTAGGAGCAGGTAAATGTGAAAAGGCAGATGGGCCGGAGGGAGGGTCTTGGATGTCATACCAGGAAACTGTGGCAGCTGTATTCTGTGGCTGAGCGGAAGGGCAGAGATGCGATGGAGAATAGGAAGGTGGGCCACTCTCGGGGTCAGCTGGTCCACTCCTCTCTTTCATGCCCTTGGTCTGATTTTCAGGAAAATCTTTTGGAGGAAAATAGTAAGAAAGTAAGTTCATGGTGTTCATCGGGTGTGTAGGCTTTGCTCCTGAGCCATGTGAAGGTCCTATGCGGAAGACCTGCTGGCTACCTCCCTTTCAGGTCATGGTCAGAAGTGGAGTCCCTGGGACAATGGAAACCATCTTGAAAGGAAGCACGAGTACTGTTCATGTTACGTAGATACGAGGATGGTAGGGCCGATCTTGCAGCCAGTCCTATTAGAGAATGTAGAAACCACTCTAGCTTCTGAGTCTGGCTTGGGGCTCTTTGAGGTCTGCAAGATTATCTTTCTTCTGTATCTCTGCATCCCCAGCATCAAAGGCTCTGCAAAGTGTTCAACATTTGTTAACAAATGTTTGATGAATGGAGGAACTACTACCCCTTGGTGATGAAGGACTAGGGTTCCAATAGAATTCTGGCCATGAAAGACTAAAGAACCTTTTAATTCTCATTACTTATCATGTTTATTTACCTGTTCTGTCAGAGCAGGCTCAAAGTGGGCACATGCAAACGCCTTTATAAGTATCTAATGGTTGGGTGATTTAGCTAAATGGCTGAAATTACAATTTGATGAAATTATCAATAGATTCTTTACTCTTTTCTTCTATCCCATCAGAGAGACCTCCTGGCTAGTACTCCTCTTTAAGGTTTGCCTTTAAAAGGGAGTTAATTCCCCCTGAATTTTATTCTTCCTTCATATCACCTCCACCTCTTTCCATACATTCCACAAATATATTTACTTTTTTTTCTTTTGGGGACCGTTTTTCTTTTTCCCATGCCCAGTGCTTTATTGTTGATGTTAATGGTGTTTTTGAGGCACATTTAAATGGGTAATGTTTCATTTGATTATGGGTTTACGTAGCTGACTGCTTCCCCATTCCATCCACATAGCCATACACAAATGCCTCTAGTTGAAGGTTGTTGGGAAATTTTGTTCATGCTCCCTCCAGGGAACTAAACCAATTTGCTTTAGTTCAGCCTGGTTGCATTTTTATGCATAAAATGAGAAGAAAGAAAAAAGCAAGAAGAGAGAGAGAGTGATCTTAAAAATTAAAGCTCAACTTGTGATCAATTTCCATATAGTGTTTTGATGCTGAGACTGCCCAATCTTTCCAAATAAGCTTTCTCGTAATTGGAATTTTTTGCAATATTCATGCTTGTACCAATTTGGGTGATTTTTTTTACCATTGGCCTTGGAAGTTGGTCAGTTAACCAGTGATCTTCTAGTACATGCTAAACTTCTCAAAAAGAAGCCTGCCATTTGATGGTAGCATGGATTTTTCTGGATTGATTCCTCTTGGCAGGGACATGTTATAACTGGCATAATTTGTTATTTTATTGACCGTCAGACCAAAAGAAAGTGAACACTGTGCTGAGGAACCTAATTACCAGAGATTACCTGATTAATATTCATGCTCACCATGTTGAATATAGGGCAGAGTGAAAAATATGGGCAAAGCCAAGTGGCACATAGACACACAGAGCAGGTCCAGCAGTGAGAAGTGGAAGAAGGCACCACGTCCTGCCAGAGATTTGCCTCCTCAGGGGCCCTTATCATGTTCTCTTTTCCCTTGAGTACACACACACACACACACACACACACATACGTACATGTGTGTGCATGTAGTAATATGATTGTTATATTCTTGCTCTTGATGAAGCTGAATAGTGTTATGAATATAGACTCCATCTGTGCCCCACACAAGTCACTGTTCCATTTCTTCTGCCTTCCTCAACTTTAGAGTTTGATGCTTTGATCACTTCACCATAAGGCGCAGCACCACCGAGGGTTTATGCCAGTCTGAATCATACACAGGCAACATGCACATGGTCTCTTCCCTGCAGCAGGTGAGCCCAAGGAGCAATCACTGTCACAGTGCCCAACACTCATCTTGGGGCCTGGCACTCAGTCTCCTGCCTTAGCCTTATGCTAGATCTGTTGTCCACCCTGCCCCGCTCTTCTTGACCCCATGGACATCAGATCCTAGGACTGGGCTTCTCCTTCGGTCCTGCTATCTTGTCCTGTTGTGACCCATTTCCAGGAGTTAATAGCCAATCTCTTAATCACCCCCAGCCTGGTGGTCAGGCTTGACCCATGTGTCAGTGACCCTCCCCCTGCCCCCACTCACCACATGACCTTGCACCTTTCCTGCATGGATCTTGGATACCACTTGTCTTGGGTTTATTGTATATTTTCTAGCAGAGTCGTGGTTCTGTTGCCTCTTCTTGGTATTAAAACTATATCTAGAGCTTGCCATATCTTGAGAACATTCTTCCTTGCCTGTTTTGCCCCTTTTTTCAAACAACCTCTGTTCTGTTGTGGACCCTTGGACTATGCAACACAAATCCTAGATATAGGAGCCCATTAGAAGAAAAATTAAAACAACCAAACTAACACACACCATAAAAGATTACTTGAAAACAAGTAGTTTGTAAGGCTATATAGACTTTGAATAGAGAAAGAATAGAATTTAGCCCATTTTATATATGTATCAATGTTTGGTTTGTCTTCTTGAAACACAGTATTCACAGAGTCCTGCGGATGGAGCCATCTGTACTCCATGGCACAGGCTCCCTTCATTCTGCAGACCCAGAGATGGAAGGGAGACTGTAGGCTCGGGAGCCAAACCACCTGGATTTTAGTCTTCACTCTGTCACTACAAATAGCATATTCTTTAACTCCATGCTATGATTGCCTGTGGTGGACGCAGGGACTATAATATCGGCTATATAGTGTTGTTGTGAGGATTAAATGAGTGAATTCACATATGGCATGTAGGATGGTGCCTGATGCCTAGGAAGCCCTTGGTATGTGTTAGACTTGGATTTCTGATCCCTTTGCCCTTCTTCCCTGCTCCCCTTTTCCCACTCCTCCATTCAGTTTCTTCTGACCACTGCTCCAGGCCCTGAGGATGTGAAGACAGATAGTGAGCTTGCCATCAAGACAGGTTAGCTGCTGCTTACACAGATGTAAAAAAGTAGAACTACAAATGCAGAAACCTTTGCAGTTTATTCTATATCTGATTGCTGTGTGGTCTGAGATTATGAAACTGAAAGAATCAAGCAGTTGAACATTTTACAGGTTTGTATGAGGTGGGATCATTTTGAATCTCACCATGTACTATTGAATGGCTTTAGGCAGGTCATTTAACTGCCCAACTGCAATATTATTGGAGGTAATACTATCTACTCTAAACCAGTATTATGAAGATTAGAAAAGACATTTGAAAAAATGTAAATATATTATGCCTGACACAGAGTATATGGACCACAAAAGGCAGCTGTTGTCACTGTCAAATCCATTCCATTATTTTTCAATCCATGGGAATGAAAATCAAATAACTTGCATTGAGAAAAAAGAGTTGTATGCCATTTATGTCTTATTTAAAACAAAACCTACTTTATATGTTATAGAAAGTAAATATAATGTAAAGAACAGTTTAGTGGATTCATCACAACATTTTAAAATCCTTTTGTTTTCTTTTAATGTTCAGACTGATTAGAATCTGGAATTATTTCATTCTTATCCACTATTACGGTATATTTAAAGGAAAAACTTAAGGTAAGAAAGCCTGTATAATTTACATATAGGATGCTGACCTAGCTGAGATTTAAAAGCTGTAGTTTGAACAGAGGAACTTCTAAAGTTAATTATTTGTTGGAGTTGTGTTCAACTAGAGCAGTCCGGCCATTTGTGGAAATGAATCACTGACCCTTGGAGTCAGGTCAAAGCAGTGAAGACTTAATAGATCTTGGCATTATGTCCCAGCATGTGGCTTATCCCAGCCCTGTGGTACATGTGGGTGGACCTCCTGGCAAAGGCATTTAGGAAACTGCTGTTTTGAAATTCTTGAGAAGACAGGAGCCCTCCTTGTTCTGTTGGGGTGGTCATTGGCAATCTGGTACCTCCATGAGCCCTCCAATATACCCCCAGATTGAAGGGCCAGTCTCAATTTTATTGTCAGATTGCATATTCTGTGAGGGCTGAGCACGTCCTACCACTCTT